AAGCGGGCGCGGACCGCGTACACCAGCGCGCAGCTGGTGGAGCTGGAAAAGGAGTTCCACTTCAACCGCTACCTGTGCCGGCCGCGCCGCGTGGAGATGGCCAATCTGCTGAACCTCAGCGAGCGACAGATCAAGATCTGGTTCCAGAACCGGCGCATGAAGTACAAGAAAGACCAAAAGGCCAAGGGCCTGGCCTCATCGTCTGGGGGACCGTCTCCAGCCGGCAGCCCCCCGCAGCCCATGCAGTCCACCGCTGGCTTCATGAACGCCTTACACTCCATGACCCCCAGCTATGAGAGCCCGTCCCCGCCCGCCTTCGGCAAAGCCCACCAGAATGCCTACACGCTGCCCTCCAACTACCAGCCCCCTCTCAAGGGCTGCGGCGCCCCGCAGAAGTATCCCCCGACCCCGGCGCCCGATTACGAGTCCCACGTTCTCCAAGCCAACGGGGGCGCCTACGGGACGCCCACCATGCAGGGCAGCCCAGTGTACGTGGGCGGGGGCGGCTACGCGGATCCGCTGCCGCCCCCTGCCGGCCCCTCCCTCTACGGCCTCAACCACCTTTCCCACCATCCCTCTGGGAACCTGGACTATAACGGGGCGCCCCCTATGGCCCCCAACCAGCATCACGGACCATGCGACCCCCATCCCACCTACACAGACCTCTCCTCTCACCACGCGCCTCCTCCTCAGGGTAGAATCCAAGAAGCTCCCAAATTAACACACCTGTGATGGGAGAGGAAGGGCGGAGGGGCGAGGTCAAGGGCAAGAGGGGGGCTGTGGAGCTCAGAGGGGCGGCCTGGAGGTCTGAAAGAGGGGTTAGGGAAGTAGTTGCTAGGCTCCCAGGACAAGGGACTTGGAGCTCCTTCCCTGCTCCCTGGCTTGAGGGGTTGTTTTAAAGTCCTTCATCCCTTGTTCCATCTGCCTGCCAACCCATCGGAAAGGAATCCACGGCAGATTGGAGATGACCCCTTCAACCCCAGGCTCCAGCACTACCAAGTTGGAATTCCATGCTGGAGAGGGAGTGTGATAGAAGAAGTTGAGATAGGAAAACAAGGCAGAGAAGCACATTTTTAAAAAAAATTAAAAAACAAAAACAAGCAGACAAGATGGCTAGGCCATGACCAACCAACCTACTTACCTTCCACCTCTGTGGATAATTTCCCCAAATCTTGATTTTCCCCCTCTCTTTCTCCTTAAGAAAATAATAAGACACATATAAGCCCAAGGACAGAAAGCACGTTCTCCTCCCACTTCCCAGAAACCTCAAATTTCCTTCCATCTATTTGAGGTTTCTTGGGGTATGCCCTCCGTTTCTAGCCCCATGATTTTCTGCTCTAGGACTTTCGTATCTATACCCCTTCTCCATCAGTTACAATTTTTAGAGGGCTCAGGGATGGTGAGAGATCCTGAAAGTCAGAGCTGCCTATAGTATAAATATATATATATTTTCTTTTTAGGAAAAGTTAGGAGGCTAAGGCAGGCAAGGACTGAACATTTGCCTGTTCCATAGTCTCTCCTCTCAGCTCCAGGTCCATCCCCCTCTCTCCACAGAAAACAATCGGCCACATAAGGTTCTCCACTTTACTTTTCTTCTGTTGCTCTCTTACTTAACGTGGAAACAGGGTATATTTGAACAAACTGTCTGTCCCAGGCAGGGGCTGCAGCTTGGCCTGTGTGCTTTGCTCAACCTCCTGACAGGACACTTTTGTTGCACTTAGAGTTTACATTTTAATGGATATAAAAACAACTGTGAGAGATGCCTAGGCCTGCAGAAGTCCAGCATCGCTCAAAAAGTGTGTGTTCTAGTGAACATTTTCATATATATTTATTGGTTATAGCCTGTTAAAATATTTTCTTTTTGTATTATTTATCCCCCCTACATTATGTATTTATATGAGGAAAAAAAGGAAAAATTGTACTTTTTTAGTATTTACTTGTTATAAGGGACATTGTGTTTTCTGTCATGTAAAAACAGCTATTTTAGTTTTTATCGTACTCTAGGAAAGAGCTGTAGATTTATGTTAAACTCGTACTTATGAGCAATTGTAATTAGTTCTAAAAGGCATGAACTCAGCTCCTAATCGTCACTGTATAGTCTTGAATTTGTAGAGTTAGAGTTAATTCCCTCTTGGAACTTTCTTTGTTCTTCTGTAGTTACTTTTTTTCCCTTAAAAGAGTTGTCTGTCAAACAATTCTTGAATAAACTTTCTGTTATCAATTTTATCTTGTCCTGGTGGTCCAATTTAGATAGCAGAGCAAGGCTTCTGACTGCCAAATTTCCCCCATGGGAAGGAGGACATTGAAGATCCTTTCCTAGTCCACTGCTCAGGATCCTATCTCCCCCTTGAAGTTTTTCAGGTTTAAATATAGTTTTTCTCACTCATAAGAACCAGGAACACATTCTGTCAACTTTTTTAGCTAAGGTTAAGTAACAAGTTCTGGAAGAAAGGGGGCTCTTGGGTGCTCTCTGTGGGTCTTTTTGTTTAACCTCTTTGCCTCTCAGTTTTTCTCATCCATTGACCTTTTGTCTGCTCCCCCCTTTGGCCACAATCTCTCTTCAATCCCTCCCCCCACCCCCAGGAAAAAAAAATCTGGCCGATTACTGCTTCTTCCACAGAACCTAAACTTCACAGTCGTCTTCCGGAGCTACAAAGAAGTCATCACGTGACCCGAAGCCCAACAACCATTGGGTCTAAAATGAAAACAAAGGAAAATGATTAATCTAAAAAAAAAAAAAACAAAAACTGAGGCCTAGACTTCTCAGGTCAAACCTTAAAACTAAAGTGAAATTAAATCACTAAATAAAACTTGGGGCAGAGGGAGAGAGGACAAATCCTCTTGCCAGGGAAAGAGGAAAAGAAGGTGGAAGAAGCTGTTGGATCCAAGCGTAAATAAAATGGTCCCCAGGCTAATGTGCGGCTGTTTTCAGGATCCTTGGGAAAACTTCATTTCTTAGTCGGGGTTCCATAAAAGTTTTATCACACTGGAGCGAGGATAGAGAGGGTCTGTCAAAGATGAAATGTCACCGCCGCGTCGCTGGAGCCGATAAGAGCGAGAAGACAGGGTGGCTGAAATATGGAGCTAATTCGTTGAAAGAGAAGCGATGCCTGCTTGCTGAAGAGTTGCATAATTCTAATTGTAAGCGATGCGCCCGCATTGCTTAATTAGGAGCATATATTTGGTGGTAGTGGTGGTTGTGGGGGTGAGAATCATTCCAGGCCCTCAGCCTTAAAGCAGGGCTGATTTTCATTTTTATGTTGCATCCTGGCAGTCCAAGGTTAGTAATTACAGTCTTTATGCAACAATAAATAACAATAAAAAAGCAACCTGAATTCTGCATCCCCCCCACCACACCAAGTAGGATTTTAACTGGACGGCTCATCCAGGCAACAAGCAATTTAGCATTGGGTCAGGCTATAATTTAAAGGCAGAAGAGCGTGCAAAGTTTGATTGGGATCAAATAACGCTCAAGGGTCTTTCTTTCTCTCTGTCTTCCTCTTCTCTGAATAACATGTTCTAAATGATGTAACTAGATGAAACGCCATGTTTGGCTCTGGGGGTGGGGTGGATTGCTTATTTTGCTAGCCAGAGAGAAAAGCAGGCCAAGAGAGAGAATTTAACTAGAGTATGAAAAAGCAGAGCTTTGGTTTGAAGCTGGAATGGTAAATAAGAAAAATAAGATGGACCTGGCTTAGCGTCCTTCTGTTTTCAAGATTCCGGTTGCTCAGCTAAAACAGTCAAAGACGTGGGTAAAATATCTTTGCTTTACCATTCAGCATGCAGGGGAGTGGGGGAGGGATGTCTCCCAGAAGGAGGGCTCTCTTGGCCCCTTTTAACACCCAAGTTTTCCGTTATTCACTAATCTGGCCATAAAATCTGTCATCGAGGGTTAGAGAGTTGTATTTCCTGCGCAGGGACAGTCTTGGCCTGGATTGCCTAGGGAAGCCCTGGGTCCTGCAGCCAGCTAGAGGGGCTGTTAGAAAACCTGCAGTGATGCCCAAGGGGCTGACCAGAGAGTGAATCCTTTCTCAGGCCTTCCTGCACAGCTACTGTTTGGATTCTTCCCTGCCTACCCTTATCCACATCTCCAAATGGCAAAATGGTTTTCTTTGGAGCTGAATTGCACACCACCCTCTCTGGCCAGTTGGCCTAGTTCAGAGCAGCTCTCCATGTTCTGAGAGCTCTACAGTCTGTCCCTGCAGCCCCCACCTTCAGCTCCCCCCTTTCCAACCTTCTCTTCTCCACCCCCACCCTTCTACTCAGACTTCTGGGCCCTTCTTTTTAAATACTCACCACCTCCCACGCGGATGTTACATTGACAAAGTTTCTAGCTCCAGCTCCCAGCTGAGTTGCCATTTCTCTGCTAACCAGCCTTCTCCTTAGGGCTGGGTTGCAGTGAACCAGTAGGGGGAGGGGAGGCCAGAGTCGTGGGAGTTCTCCAGGCAAACTTTCCACCCAACTCAGCGCCTTCCCTCTGTCCCCATTTCCCATCTGTTTCCTGGCTCTCCCAGAATCACCTTTCTCTATTGCCACCCCCTCCCCTCAGGCCTTTTTAAGGGATGTGGAATTTCGGCTGTTCCCTCTGCTTTCCCAAAGAGACAAATTCTTTGATGCAATCGGAGGGAGCTGTCAGGGGGCTAAGATTGATCGCCTCATCTCCTCTTGGTCCCTCTGACCCACTCATTTAAAAATCTTCCCCCAGATCGACTTTTCATTTTCTGCTTTGAGGCCTAGTTTCCCACCAACTGCTTGTGGCTCTACATCTTGTACCTCCTTCCTCTAGTAAATTGTAGCATTCTCTAAAGTTCAGACTATCATGGCCCCCTCAAAATAAATAAATAAATAAATAAAGTCCCACTCCAGGGGTCAGAATCATCTCAGTGGTCATATTTCCACTCCCTCCATCTTCAAGAATTCCATCTTTCTTGCCTAGATTTTTTTTTCTTATGCTAGCACAATGGCAAAAGTGGAAAGGAAAGTCTTTTTGTCCCACTAGGGACTGCTACCCCTCCCCCCCCATAGGCAATGACCTGAATTTTGAGAGTTATATGATTGGTTCTTGTTCATGCCCCTAGATATGGATACAGAAAAGGCTTGGGGTTAAGTGGGCATATATGCACCTTCAACCCTCCTGTTGCAGGAGTGAAGGACTTATAATAGATAAGTATAAATCCCCAAGAGGAAGGCAATGGACATAAGGAGTTGTGCTGTAAACACTGGGCAGAGAAGGGAACCCAAACCCTACAGTTATGGAGGCCAGTGGGCAAAAATGCTGTGGAGGTACCTGAACATTTCCCAAGATTTAACAGTTGCTTTAGGGGTTGGGATGGGAGTGGTGGTGATGATGATTATAAATCTCTTCTGTTTCTTAATCACACCTCAACACGGTCCCTTCCTAAATGGAGGAAACATCTTTCTATTCCTTCTTCCTCCCATAGAGATACTCTCTCATCTCTGTGTGTGTGTGTGTGTGTGTGTGTGTGTGTGTGTAAGATAGTGCTTGCTATGTAATAAAAAAGTATTAATTTACTTCATTAAAATCTTTAGAAAGGAGGAAAATTTCTCCTTCTGATTTGATCTGTTCCTGCAACCTTACAAGAGTGGAAGGAGGAAAGGTCCCTCTAGATTTTCTGGAGAAAGGGAGTCATTGGGGAGACACCGGTTTAGGAATGGGGGACTCATGGTGTCCAGGTCGTGGTCCTCTGGAGTTTTTGAATCAATTAAAGCAAATAATGCTCTGTTTTCCACCAGGCCCAGCTGAGCGATTGGCCAAGGCCGGTCCCGTGACCACGAATTCCCTGCAATTTCGTCGGAGTCCTGGGTTTAATAGAGAGAGTCCCCATACGCTTGTATTTATCAGCAATATACAATTATAAAGGCCCAAATTTTAAAAAAAGAGAGCGAAATCTCCCCCTCCCAAAATCGTTCCATCGCACAAACCTGGGGGGGGCAGGAGGGGGGGTCCCTTCCGATCCTCCCTCCTGACGCCCCCCCCAGCAGGCCCCCTCCCCCACCATTGAAAGCCATGAATTTTGAATTTGAGAGGGAGATTGGGTTTATAAACAGCCAGCCATCGCTCGCCGAGTGTCTGACTTCCTTCCCCGCTGTCTTGGAGACATTTCAAACTTCATCAATCAAGGAGTCGACATTAATTCCTCCTCCTCCTCCTTTCGAGCAAATCTTCCCCAGCCTCCAGCCCGGCGCCTCCACCCTTCAGAGACCCGGGAGCCAAAAGCAAGCCGAAGATG